GGAGACTAAACTTTTGGTTGCCAATGATAAAAAGTAATTTTTGTTTTTTATTTGACAACTAAATAATTTTAGTAGCCAAAACTAACTCTACAATGACTAACAGATGTTTTAGTTACTGAAAATAAATTTTTAGCAACCAAACTTTTAGTTGCCAAAGATAAAAAGTAATTTTTTTTTTCTATTTGGCGACTAAATAATTTTAGTAGCCAAAACTAACTCTACAGTGACTAAAAAAAATTTTTTGTAGCCAATTGTGGCATATTTAGCGACTAAAAATTGTTTTAGGTTCCAATTGTGGCAGTTTTAGCAACTAAATTTTTTATAGTCGCCAATAATCAATATACCTCGACTAAAAAAATTAATAGTTAAATCTTGTACTTTTGCTGACTAATATAATTTTTGGGCACCAATTTCACAACTTTTGGCGACTAAATTTTTTTTAGTTGCCAAATTTGATCGCCAAAAGTATAATTTCCTGTAGTATATACTTTTATGGAAATTTATTCTTAAACTAGATATTTCTTCAAAACATCTTAATTGTCTTTTAATTGCCACAATTTCTAACCACTCTACTTCACATAGAAACATAGTATCATCTGCAAACTGAAGGTGGGAAACAGTAATCCTCCCAGAGTCCACTTTCACCCCTTTAATATTCCCGACTCCTTTGTTCTCATCACTAAAATGTTAAACCCTTCTGCTACAACATTGAAAACAAAAGGTGAGAGTAGATCTCCTTGCCTTAACCCTCTTTTTGAGCAAAACTCATCAATTGGGGAACCATTCACAAACACAGATACTCTTGTTGAAGAAATACACTCTTTTATCCACTCAATCCATCTTAATCCAAATCCAAAATTCTCTAACATTTGTATCAAAAAATTCCAATTTATCGAATCATATGCCTTTTCAAAATCCAACTTTAGGATTAGACCCTTCTGCTTAGACTTCTTCTAACAATCTACTACCTCATTAGCAATAAGAACTCCATCCATGATGTTTCTCCCACCCAGAAAAACAGACTAAGCCTCCGTTTGGGAAGTAGGTTGGCTTTTTGACTTTTTTGACTATTTTAGCCTGGGCTAAAAAATTTGGTTTAGAAAGGACTTTTTAGCTTTTGGGCTTTTTTGACTTTTTTTGTGAAAGAAGAGTGTAATGATTATGGGTTAGATGTGATATTTTATTTGTTGTAGCTAAAATAATCTATTTTATTTTTTGTGACTATTTTAACCCCAAAACCACTTGCCAAACACCACCTAAACATTATCAATAACAGTAGGCAGCACTTGCTTGAACCTACGTGCCAATACATTGGACAGATAGATGACTATTTACTGACAATGTATTCGACTGGTCTTCTTAAAGTCTAAGAGTGACAAGTCCTTAACCTTCGGGAATCCAAGGAAGAGCTATCAGTCACAATACCATCTTGCCCTGTAGCTGGATGGCTCTGCCGTTGCCTTAGTTGGAAAATCCAATGGTACGTGTAATATTATTCTAATAGTAATAGAAATGCGTGTAAATTCATTCATAAAAATTTTAAAAATAAGACTTTGATAACCCGTAACACTATAGGAAATTATATTTTTAGCGATTAAAAAAAATTTAGTCATTAAAATTGTGAAATTGACAACCTAAAATTATATTAGTTGAAAAAAATATAAAATTTAGCTACTAATTTTTTTATTCAGGGTATATTGATTATTGGCGACTGAAAATATTTTTGTCACTAAAAATGGCACAATTAGTGACTAAAAAACTTTTTAATCTCTAAAAAGGGAACAATTGGAGATAAAAAAAAATTTAGTCGCTATACAGTTAATTTTGACTACTAAAATTATTTAGTCGCCAAATAAAAAAAAATTTACATTTTTTTGGTCACCAAAAATTTATTTTCAACAACTAAAATATGTTTTAGTCGTTGTGCAGTTAGTTTTGGCTACTAAAATTATTTAGTCGCCAAATGAAAAATAAAAATTTACATTTTATCTTTGGTCGCTAAAAATTATTTTCAGCAACTAAAATATGTTTTGGTCATTGTACAATTAGTTTTGGCTAGTAAAATTATTTAGTCGCCGAATGAAAAACACAAATTTATATTTTATCTTTGGCGACCAAACTTTTGGTCGCCAAAAATTTATTTTCAAAGACAAAAAAAATTTAGTAGCTGTAGAGTTAGTTTTGGCTACTAAAATTATTTAGTTACCGAATAAAAAACAAAATTTTATTTTTTATCTTTGGCGACCAAAAGTTTGGTCGTCAAAAATGTATTTTCAACGACAAAAATATGTTTTAGTCGTTGTACAGTTAATTTTGACAACTAAAATTATTTAGTCACTGAATGAAAAATAAAAATTACATTTTATCTTTGACGACCGAAAGGTTGGTTGCCAAAAATTTTATCTAGAGTTCCAAAACTCAATTCTAAATTTTGTAATTTTCTTATTTTTAAACAATTTAAAATTCTCCTATTGGTTGACTCTTATTTATCTATTAAAATAAAATTTCAATTATTTTTAAAAGGAAAGTATATGTAATATTTCATGCGAAATATGAAAAGCATTCACTTAAATAGAAAAATGAAGATCAATTTAAAATTTTAATAAATGTTTAATTTTTATGCAAAATATGTGCTACTTTTCAATATAAATAATTCAGGTAAATCTCTTTTCTCACAAGAAATTTAAATAGATAACTCTCTCCCACTTTCCTTCTCTCTAGATAAATTACTGGTCAAAATATTGTGTTAGTGTTTTTGTCCCTTAACTCTTTATACTATTACAAAAAATTCTAAAAAATAAAAATAATTTTTTATGACTTACATTTATTTTATTTTTTTTAAATTTCCAATTGATGTTTATTAATGGCTGATTAAACAAAATTTTACAAATATATATATTGCTATTTTTTTGTTTTTTTTTAAGTTCTACCCATTTATATTATTTAAAAATAAAATAAAATAAAGTTATACCAAAAATGACATTTTAGGGTTGAGATTGCAAAAGACTTTTAGATCCTAAGTCGGGCAGAGCCTTGGATTGGGCACGAGAGATTTTGTATTTCCTAACTTAAGTACGACCTAAACTCAATTCAAGTTTAACTCACCTATGAACAAAAATTGTTTGCAAGTCATCAGGAATTGGGAGGAAAAAATTAGGGGATATAGCATTGCTCGATAAATTATTAGGATATTTTGATTTTGATTCTGATTTGTGAGTTTGATTTATTCTTAGTTTGTTTATATTGATTTGTATTAGAGCATGATGTGAAAAGTACAAATAGTTTAATTATATTTTTTCGTAGTGATAAATTTACTGTTTACAATTGGAGCTTCGATTCACAAAACTTGTTAGTATTAAAAAAAAAAAAATGAATTTCCAAAACAAAATATATTAGACTTAAATTGACTTTTGCAGTGATTTTTTTAAATTTTTACGAAAAACATATGTAAAAAAATAGATAAGGGAAGGGTGTTATCACATTATTGTGTTGTGTTGTGACGCCCTGATTGAGATTTGTCTTGATTTTATTTTAATGATTTGAACTATTCATATTATAAAATTCGTCGAATAATATTAACTATATATGTAGACCCATGATTGAACACTAATTGTCTTTTTAAAAAATATTAAAATTATGTTAACCGTTTATTATTTTAAATATAAATATTGTCTTATTATTGATTATACGTGTTTAATTAACTTAATTTTTCATAAATAATTTAATTGACGAATCTCATAATATAAACAATCCAAAATATTGAAATAGAAATACCCTCATGACTTCTACGGTGTCGTGCATAAGAATGGACTGACTTTTTTATTTTTGACCAATTTGACCTGTTCTATACGGATTTGGGGTGGCTGCTGTGCAATCCACACAACAGTCACTGCTGTGCAGCAAAATAGGCTCATTTTGGAACTCATTTCGATAATTTGAATTGTTCATATTTTAGAATACATCAAATAGAACATGCCTGTAAAAAATCAAGTTAATCGGATATCATTTATCTATTCATCACTCACATTTCACTACAGGAAATGCCACTTTTGGCGACCAAAATATTGGTCGCCAAAAGCCCCATTTTTGGTGGCCGAAACAATTAGCGACTAAAATATTTTGTCGCCAAACTAGTCGCCTATACCCTGTCGGCGATAGTATTGGCGACTAAAATATTTTTGGTCGCTGAAAGTGAACGTTTTGGCTACTAAACTCTGGTTAGTCGGCAAAGGTTATCTTTTGGCGACTAAAATATTAGTCGCCAAAAGTGAACATTTGGCTACCAAAATCTGAGTAGTCGGGAAAGGGTATGTTTTGGCGACTAAGTATTTAGTCGCCAAAAGTGTTCAAATAAAATAAATTAAATTTTCAGCGACTAAAACTTTTTGTCGGGAATAAGTTTTAGTCACAACATTACTACATTTAGGGACTAAAGAATTTAGTCGCCAAAAATATTATTTTTCATTTTATTAAACTTTTGGCTACTAACCATTTAGTCACTAAAAGTTCTACCTTAGGCGTGGTGACTTTTGCCGACTAAAACTGTTCGTAGCCAAAAACCTATTAAGATTCATTTCTTTACTTTTTGCCACCAAAAGTTTTAGTCGCCAAATGATACCATTTTTTCCGTGACTAAAAAATTTAGTAGCCAATAGTTTATTTCTCTCATTCTCAAATTTTTTAGCTACTAATTATTTGGTGGCAAAAACGTTTTGGGTTATGTTTTTGCTACTAAATTATTAGTAGCCAAAACTTTTTATTACCTATTTGGCTACCAAAACATTTGGTGGCCAAATAATTTTCTGTTCTTTTTTTTTTAAAAAAAAAAATTGTAAACAACCTGTATTCATTTATATTACATGTACCCTGTATAAATAATATAATCCATCAACACTAAAATATATTATCAACCATTAAAACATTCAACATAATATATGAATAACCATGATTTAAATCCATACATAATACATGAATAACCTAATTAATTTGTTCGAACCACTATATACAAATAGAGGTATAAAAACAATGCCCTCCCGTAATTGTCAAAAAATTATATATCCACATTTGTATGTCCAAAATCATCTGAAAAAAAAATAAAATTCATTAGTTAGGTGCCTATAAAATGTTAAGAAGGCTTAAAAGCTTTCCCTATTAATGACATAGATATTCTTACATATAACACTTCTATGTTGAGATATCAGTTCCACAAATTAACTCTACATTTTAGTTAAAATAAGGAGAGAGAAACAATTTATAAAATTAAATGTCTCAGAGAAACAATAGAAAAATAATGATATTCACACAACACTTTTAGGAAAGGGCCACCACATATGTGACCACACTCAAATGTCTACCAACTTCCTTTATTAAATAATCAAATATATGATATATTATGGCAGAATGATCTATAATCACCGAGAGCTTCAAATTCTTACCATAACACAACACAATAATCTGCTACCCTCTCAATCAAGAAAGCAAAAGGATTTAATTACTTATGACAAATAGATTTTACGTGGAGCCTTCTATAAACATATCCATTACCTTCCCACTTCTCAACTTCAAGCACTTAAAGCAAACCAGGCTCAACAACCGCTTCAGTTCGCTCACATGGGAAGGATGATATACTGGAATTGGTAATTCTATACACCCAAAGTGACCTGAAAGGTAAAAAAATGAACAAAACTTTAGCAATACTTCAATGTGTCCAGATTGGGCCAAACCTAGAGTGGCATATATTTCCTTAGTTTCCCTTAATCATCATTAGGTAAATCACACATTTTGATCTTCAAATTCCTTTTAACATGAATCCCAACCCTCCATTTTATGGCTCCCAAAAGAAAAAAATGACCATTAAAACATTATGAATAAAACATTAAAACATGACCATTCTTCTTTTTCTTCTTCTTTCCTGACAAAGTAAAAAATTAATTCTTGTAAGAAAAACGATGACATACTCCAATGCATAAGGACCAACTTGTTTCTCTCCATAATGACATACTCCAATGAGTCTACCCCTCGCACAACAATAGGTAAAACCAACAAAGCTAAAAGTGGACAAAAAATCTAAGCAGCACAAAACTCATTAATGAAGTGGTCCCAAGCAACTGCCAATTCATTATCAACATCTGCTGCATCAATGTTTACTAAGTAACAAGGAATAATATACATATACAAATAGAAAAAGTACAGAGTGGAAAGAATTGATTTTTGATTTACTAATGGACATGTAGGGCAGCTCCACTAAGATCCACACTTGCCACAAATTTTAATTCAGTGACAGTGTTATCGGTAACCCAAATATGCAATCAATCACCAAGTGTAGAGGCCTAATAAAGTATGAAATATATACATGCACAGCTCAAGACTTCATAGTCTCCTTAGAAGCCCAAATTTGCCTCTCTGACATAATTTCACTGTAGGAACTGGATACATGCTTCTAATATTTTTTTTCTTCTACAAATAATATTGATAAAAACTCTCCAACAATAATCAATTTCGTCAAAAAAAATTAATGAGCAACATTTAAATATTCTACATGAAATAACAGTCCTCATCACTAAAAATGTAAAGCCATTGCCATGCCATCAACATAATCATCAAAAAGCACCAACCCAACACCCTACACTAAATTGATGAACTCAAAATGGAAGAACTATACCTGTTATCTCACAAGCAATTATCAATTGTGGAAGGCTGCCTCAAGAGTTCTTCTGCCTGCACAAATTCAGCATTCCAAAGTGCTGCTGGGTACTTTGGAATGCAAGCTTGCACAGTATACACCTGAACTGAGTAATTGCCATTAAATTCTTGTTTGGATTCTGCAAATAACTCAAGACAAGACAAATCCAAATTAACATTTCTTCCCTGCTGTTGGCAACAGGATTATCCATAACTAAGAACTACAGAAACTCATTAAGAAAAACTTCATCTTTCACATTTCTCAGAAGAAAAGAAATACATTTGGATTTCTACCAGGCAGATATTAGAGAATGATAATTGTTAGTTTCAGTACATGGTAGCCTCAATTAAATGACAAAAGACAACCTAGTAAAACAGGAACAATTTATATTACCCAAATTTCATACTAACTAACTAAAGAGCAGCAACATTTTAGTCCATATCTAATATCTTCAAACTGCATGTAACTAAAAATTTTAAAGGCTTATATCTTCAAATGTGTACAATATTTGAATTATTCTAAGGGCATCCACACCGATGGAAGTGATGAGTGATGTAGTGGTTCTAATTGAAAGCACCAGATTAACAATATGACGGTTAAGAATGAGGGTCAAAGAAGTGAGAAGAAACAAAAAGACCAATGCTTTAGGCACATATGTAAGAGTGACATTGCAGAAGAGGAACACATAATAACAACACATGGATAAGAATTAATTATCATGGGATGAACATGACATTCTAATAAAATTTCTAACCTGAAAGTTTAGGCCCAGAAACAAGCCTTATATGGTAAACTGAAGAGCTTCAAATGCCATTCAATGAGAAAACAACAATACAAGCAAAGACACTCCAAATCAATAAAATAAAATTAACCTGGTGAATGAGGAAGCTTTGAAGCTAAAATGAAAGATGGCCAAAAGTTTTCTCATTAGCAAGATAAAGCAAACAGATTCACATATTGAAAATTTACAGCATAAGCTTATATCTGAATTGTACAACCCACATGAAAAATAACTCAAAAGAAAGACAAGGGGCGCTGCACCAAGACACAAGACCAAGATCCTCTACATGTTCATGAAACAAGTTAATTGTCTCACATTGAACTTCTGTATGAAAGACACCCCCTATGAAAGAGTAAGATACACCATGAAGCTTCCCAATGACACATAAATACCCATCAAATTCCCCTTTTGTATCCACAGAAAAAAAGAAATCAAGTTGCATTGGAATCAAAAACCTATCATCACTTGCATACAGAATTGTCCAAAGCCAAAAGTTTTCTCATTAGCAAGATAAAGCAAATAGATTCACATATTGAAAATTTACAGCATAAGCTTATATCTGAATTGTACAGCCCACATGAAAAATAACTCAAAAGAAAGAGAAGGGGCACTGCACCAAGACACAAGACCAAGATCTTATGCAATAATCATGTTAAGCAACATGGTGCAGATGCTAAACTATTATTAGAAGAAAATAGATCACCAGTTCACTACGGTAATGGAAGAAATTGTCAGTGAATCTAGTTTCGGACCGTCTTCAATCAATTGATCGATTCCTGTATGTGTATTAACCAATTCAATACTGTAAACACAAGAAGACCTAAAGAAACAAATGAGAAAAACATCGAAACACTACAAATAGCAGCAACATACTCCATCTTGAATGCATCCAGGACTTGTTGTAGCTGCCACAACTTTGCAGATCCAAAAATAGCACTGGCAACAAGAGGGTGTTTCAAAACAAAGTCTGCCCAAAGGAACCAAGAGTTCACAACTTTGCGGATCCAAAAACAACACTGGCAACAAGAGGGTGTTTCAAAACAAAGTCTGCCCAAAGGAACCAAGAGTTAATAGTTGATAAGCCAAATACATAGTGCAATGTATTTATTTCATCAATAACCTACACCAAGAACATACCAACAAACAAACATTCCCCCATATATACACATGTATATTTGAGATAACTTTAAAAACAAACAAACATTCTCTCTTGTTATATACATATATCCCTTGAAATGTGTTGAAGATTTGGGGGCTTGATAAATCCCTCCAAGTGATAGAAAAGACATAAACTTCCTTCCAGAACATTAATCTACTCAAGAAATCCAGAACATTAACTTCCTTCCAGGTCCAAGTGACTATCGAAGTCCAATCTAATTAATTTTTTATATGGATAATCTACTCAAGAAATCCTACAAGTTGAATGGTTTGGATTACCAACATGGGAGATTAGCCTCGATAGACTAACCGTAGAATTTCATACAAAGCACAAGCGCAAAGATCACCACGAACGAGTCAGAAATAGAGTTGGTTTGAGGATGTAAATATGCGCATAGGGACTAAAACTTACAAATCTGAACGAAAACAATCAATCAATCAAATCCAGAGAGAGAGTGTTCGATCGTGATCAATAGACTAAAAATCAATCGATCGATCGATCGATGTTGGTTTGAGGATGTAAATATGCGCATAGGGACTAAAACTTACAGATCTGAACGAAAACAATCAATCGATCAAATCCAAAGAGAGTGTTCGATCGTGATCAATAGACTACAAATCAATCAATCGATCGATCGATCTGTGTTCTCTTTAACATAAATTAGTATATGTATACATATCAAATAGATTTGAGATCATAGATACAGATCTGAGTTTGTATATAAACAAAATCAAAAAATCAGAGAAAGACTCACAAAATTAATCTTCAAATTGGACTGATCGAGAGCTTTGAGCCAAGATGGAGAACCAGATAGAGATTACGATCGTGAATCAGAGACTACGATGCTCGATCTAGTGAACTTTCACCATAAGAAAGAGGAGTAATGAAGAGACAGAAAACCTAGATCTGTCTCGGGACTGAGAGAAATGGAAGAATGAAAAACGTGTGGCCTTAAAAGGGGAAATACGTTAGTAACACCAAGCACGCGTGTTAAAATGAGTTGCTTATAAAATATTTTGAAAATGTTTACAACAACGTTTTTTAAAAAAACGCCGTAACAAAAGCGTGGTTATAGGTCAATTTTCTTGTAGTGCATCAAGTTTTTTTCTGGGATACATTACTGCAGCTGTCAATGTTTCATAGATGCCCACCATTAGAAAACGTTTTCCCATTTTTGATAGGCACCACCATTTTGAAAGATACGACTAAAAAATTTGTAATTTTCTTACCACATTCCCATGCTTCACTCTCAATCAGGATATGCACAAAATTTAAGTTCACGATTTCAAACTAACAAAACTGCCACTAACATAAAGAATTTTAAAAGGTAATATTACAACAAAAGTAATAAAACCATACCTATAGACTCTAATTGCAATTGTTGGAGCACCACACTTGGTTCATCAACATGGTATGATCTTTCAACATGCAATATTGGACCTGAAGGTGAAGCTGATAATATAGCAGATGGAGAATGTTAAAAATAGAAAAAAATGACTTCCAAATTTTGTATCAAGTAGTTAAAAATGACTTCCAAATGACTTCCAAATTTTGTATCAAGTAGTTAAAAATGACTTCCAAATGACTTCCAAATTTTGTATCAAGTAGTTAAAAATGACTTCCAAATGACTTCCAAATTTTGTATCAAGTAGTTAAAAATGACTTCCAAATGACTTCCAAATTTTGTATCAAGTAGTTAAAAATGACTTCCAAATGACTTCCAAATTTTGTATCAAGTAGTTAAAAATAGGCACTTTTTGACACCAATATTGAGTTGAAATGCCACTGAAGAAAGTAAAGGATCATTACCACTTAAGCAGCAAGGTACAACTATACAATAGGTGGACCCAACAGCAAAAGAACCCATTATATTCCCCAAATCCCAACAAACTAACTCTGAGAGATGTCTCAAGGGATATACAACAAAACAACAAATATACCATTCAAAGGCAACCGGGGTTTCTTCTTTTTCTTCTTCTTTCCTGACAAAGTAAAAAATTAATTCTTGTAAGAAAAACGATGACATACTCCAATGCATAAGGACCAACTTGTTTCTCTCCATAATGCATACTCCAATGAGTCTACCCCTCGCACAACAATAGGTAAAACCAACAAAGCTAAAAGTGGACAAAAAATCTAAGCAGCACAAAACTCATTAATGAAGTGGTCCCAAGCAACATCAGGCATAGAAAAACACAAGTACCCTCAAATTAGAGACATTACCTGCCTCACCAGAAACTAGCTTCTTCATCAGCCAGCAGAGCACTACCCTGTGATGCAGGTTCCTTCATACTCAACAAAGTTATATTAGATCCAATAATTTAACCATACCTGCAAAGGACAGCATGTGGTATGGTTAGGCGACACCTTTCACCATCAAGTGGGTCACAGGGACTTTTTATATCATGTGCCCATATTCTTAACTTCACTGTACAAGGTAACTTTACTACAGCCATTAAGTTTTTTTCCGGGATACATTACTGCAGCTGTCAATATTTCATAGATGCCCACCATTTGAAAATGTTTTCCCATTTTTGATAGGCACCACCATTTTGAAAGATACGATTAAAAAAATTGTAATTTTCTTACCACATTCCCATGCTTCACTCTCAATCAGGATATGCACAAAATTTAAGTTCACGATTTCAAACTAACAGAACTGCCACTAACATAAAGAATTTTAAAAGGTAATATTACAACAAAAGTAATAAAACCATACCTATAGACTCTAATTGCAATTGTTGGAGCACCACACTTGGTTCATCAACATGGTATGATCTTTCAACATGCAATATTGGACCTGAAGGTGAAGCTGATAATATAGCAGATGGAGAATGTTAAAAATAGGAAAAAATGACTTCCAAATTTTGTATCAAGTAGTTAAAAATAGGCACTTTTTGACACCAATATTGAGTTGAAATGCCACTGAAAAAAGTAAAGGATCATTACCACTTAAGCAGCAAGGTACAACTATACAATAGGTGGACCCAACAGCAAAAGAACCCATTATCACAAGCAACTCTGGAAGTTGTCAATGGCATGTAAAAATCAATCAAAAAATAAGTCAGACAATCACCATTTATCTTGTCTTTGAAATACTAAAACTATCTATTAATAAATGCATACAAACAAACAAACATTCCCCCACATATACACATGTATATTTGAGATAACTTTAAAAACAAACAAACATTCTCTCTTGTTATATACATATATCCCTTGAAATGTGTTGAAGATTTGGGGGCTTGATAAATCCCTCCAAGTGATAGAAAAGACATAAACTTCCTTTCAAAACATTAATCTACTCAAGAAATCCAGAACATTAACTTCCTTCCAGGTCCAAGTGACTATCGAAGTCCAATCTAATTAATTTTTTATATGGATAATCTACTCAAGAAATCCTACAAGTTGAATGGTTTGGATTACCAACATGGACTCACTCACATCCACGGCAACTGGACATTCAATATTGTAGTTCAACTAGCCTAACAATACACATGGTCAGAAACATACAAACCCAACAATCACTTGCACACTGAAACACCCCCCCTATGAAAGAGTAAGATACACCATGAAGCTTCCCAATGACACATAAATACCCATCAAATTCCCCCTTTGTATCCACAGAAAAAAGGAAATCAAGTTGCATTGGAATCAAAAACCTATCATCACTGTCGCTGAGTAAAAGAGAATGTAATCAAAACAGAATTACTACAATAACAATCAACAATAACAATCATTAGCCAATAAAGGAGCTCTTGCATAGAAAGTCATGTTTGTTAGAAATTTTAATTTTTAGGAGTTTCTACTTTGGTTAGGCTATAAACAAATAAATAAATAAATAAGTTAATTAAGTTGGAGTTCAATTAGATTTTAATCAGAAACGTGTAATTGGTTGTTAATAATCATCAAAAAATTGAGATTTTCGAGGCCATGATTTCAGTAATCCGAACAT